AAAAAATGCAATAAATAATGCTGCATGCCAAATCAGGCTGTTTCCTGTTGCCTGATGGGCCAGAACACTGTTCTAAATTCCTGTTCAGTAATACCCATAATCTGTATCAGTGAGCCACTACAGAAAAAATACCTATTAACTTCCAGATTCCTTCATCCAAGCTCATGGAGGGTTGTTATTTCCATGTCACCACTGGTTTTAAGACCTTATTTGTATTGGATGTACACACACAGGAGTGTCTGGATTGCAACTAGGGCTGAGAGGTACATGTGCCATTCAGAGGTTTCAACAGAGGTGTCACTCTCAATGAATGTATCTGCACTAGGCTTTTGCACTGTTTCCAAAGTTATGGCTATTGCGGCCTTAGTCTTCCTACACAGTTAATACAGCATAGCAGCAGAAAGAAACCTTCATGACATACTAGTGAAGAGTTACTAGGAGCCAACAGGAAGCAATGCAAAAAAGTTCTTATCTGCTGTGTCCCTTCATGAGGGAACACATCTACTTTCTCTAATCATACAAACATAGAATCATAGACTCACAGAATCAGCTGAGTTGGAAAAGACCTCTGAGATTATGAAGTCTAACCCTTGATCCAACACCACTGTGGTTACTAGATTATGGCACTAAGTGCCACATTCAGTCTCATCTTAAAAACCTCCAGGGACAGGGAATCCACCACCTCCCTAGGCAGTCCAGTCTGATTACTCTCTCTGTAAAAAATTTCTCCCTAATACCCAACCTAAACCTCCCCTGGCAGAGCTTAAGACCTTGCCCTCTTGTCCCACTGCTGGTTGCCTGGGAGAAGAGACTGACCCCCACCTGGCTACAACCTCCTTTCAGGTAGTTGTAGAGAGTGATGAGGTCTCCCCTGAGCCTTCTCTTCTCCAGGCTGAACAACCCCAGCTCCCTCAGCCTCATAGGACTTGCGCTCGAGTCCCTTCACCAGCCTTGTTGTTCTTCTCTGGACCTGCTCCAGCACCTCAAAATCATTCCTAAACGAGGGGCCCAGAACTGGACACAGTACTCCAGGTGTGGCCTCACCAGCACTGAGTACAGGGGAAGAATTACTGCCCTGGTCCTGCTGGCCCCACTGTTCCTAATCCAGGCCAGGATGCCATTGGCCTTCTTGGCCACCTGGGCACACTGCTGGCTCATGTTCAGCTTCCTGTCAGTCCAAACTCCCAGGTCCCTCTCTGCCTGGCTGCTCTCCAGCCACTCTGTCCCCAGCCTGTAGGGCTGCATGGGGTTGTTGTGGCCAAAGTGCGGGGTCCAGCACTTGGCCTTGCTGAATCAGAAAAAACCATCAGTGATGATAATTAGTACCTAGCTTTTGAACTTCTCATAGCTTGTTCCTTGGCTTAACTCTTATTACAGGTACTTTATCCTTAATGATAACTCAGGTTTGCTGACTATTAAAGAAGGAACCCCACCAGGAACATACAACATAAGAGTTAGAGTCATTGATGGAGTCTGGCCAGATGTTATCTCAACTGTAAAGGTTATAGTGAAAGAAATCAAAGATGATGCCCTCCATAATGCTGGTTCCATACGAATAAAAGGTAAGCAGTGTGATCAAGTACGATAAGATCGTAGTACTGAAATCTACTTTTTTAATTTTACTGCTGTGATACTTAGAATTCTAATGCTCCTAGATGTGGAACGTGAGTTAATAGTTTTCTAGGTAAGGGTTTGAAAATGCATGGTTTCTGAAGCTGCATGAGTAGGAGAATCTATGGAGAAAAAAGACAGCAAGAAAAAGCTTGTCTGATTTCTACACCAACTTTTTAAGAAAACAGCAATTCATATTTCAGAAGAAAAACTATTTGAATGAGTATCTGCCTGAAATACAACAAATTGTTTCAACCTTTGTGGAAAAGTATCACTTGCGAGATACATGTATTTCAGGTTTTCAACTTCTATTACAGGTATCACACCAGAGGAGTTCATATCTCAATCCCCTGAAAAACAGAGTAAATACTACCGGATGAGGAAGCTGCTTTCAGAAATTATATCAGTCCAATTGGAAAATGTTCACATTTTCAGTGTATTAAACAGTCCAAGTCCAACCCAAGGTATTGATGTTTGGTTTGCTGTTTATGGTCCACCTTATTATAAAGCAGAAAAACTCAATGGCAATGTAGCAGCCTCCAGAGCATGGGTAAGTATCCATCCTGTATATGAAACCACAGCATCTTCTCGTTGTGTCTGTTCAGATAATGTACATTGACTAGTGAATGTGCACATTTAGAATGACTGAGGGAGTAATGTATGAGAAAAATTAATCATTTTAATCAGTAAAGTCAATCAATCTTCTAGCATCATACTAAAAGTTTCAAATATGAATGTTTTCAAAGCCAGCCTATAAACACATATAAAGTCAATCAAACACAATGAGCTTTTAGGATTGTGAACAGGTTTTTCCTATTAAAAAGACTGTAAAATTCTGTATAAAGGATGTTTTTGGGTGTTGCCTTTCTACACAGTGCCTTAATGTTTCAGTTTTTAGTCCTCTACATAGAAATGTTTTGTAGTTGAGACTCACAAACTAGTCAGAAGTTTCAACTTTCTAAGCTAAGAGGGCAAAGCAATAAAAGAGGCATTCTCCAGTGGAAAACCAGGTTGGAAATATGTGTTGACAATTTAGTAAAGTTCCTGCCCCTCTTGCAAAAAAAAAAAAAAAAAAAAAAAAAAAAAAAAAAGCATGATAAGAGTTAAATGACTCACTCTGTTGGTACACAGAGGCTGAAATTAGAAATAATTTTAGAATCAATGCTTCTGAACCAACTCACTCTTGCCAGACAAGGTATCTCTTCATTGTCCAATGCCTTTCCACTCTCCCAGTATTTTTTAAGGTGGAAGTTCAAATAAAAAATACAGCTCAGATGCTACATAAATAATCCATCAGAATAATCAGTGACTGAAATTTATTCACTTGGTCTCTAATGAATATGAGAGTATTTTTGCCCCCTAAGTGCATACTCATGCTGTAATTGACTTACACCTTGGCTTTGACCTTAACAGGTGCCAGACTGAGCTGCTTTTGGCTGGATAGGGTGAGATTGGAAGGAAGTGGCACAGCAACCAGTTTTGAAAATAAATAAGACTTCTGCTTTTCATTGTCATTAGTGAGTTTTCTCTCTGTGGAAAAGTGAGATGAATGCAACTAATTGTTCTCCACAGCTGGAAAGCATCTTGGATATAAATATCACCCAGATTGGCATTGATGAATGTGTGACTGCAAACTGTACTCACAGCAGCGGATGCAGCAGTAAGCATGAACAGAAACACGTACCAACTGTAACTACAACTGAAAGTGTTTCACTGGTGTCTGTGACAGTCCTGAGTCATGCTGTGTGTGGCTGTGCAGCTCGGGAGAGTCCTCATCTTTCCTGCTCCTCATACCAGACAAACCCTTGTCTCAATGGTGGCACATGCACGGACACTGATTTGGGCTACAGGTTGGTAAAGCTTTGTCTGGTGTGCAAACAGAATGCATCTAGTTCAGTCTGTAAGGAGGATGAGTGGAAGCTTCCAGAAGCATCATTGTGTGACTTCTCACTGTAACAGATATGAGTTTTGTTATACTTCATGCACAGGTCTTGCAAAAGAATCTCTACGTTCAGATATGTACTTAGGTTCATTCTAGTCTCCAGGAAAACCCTGGGAAGATTCCAGGCTGCACCAGTTCATTAATGTCACCCTGCAAAATGCTCTCATTTTGTCCAGCCTACTTTAATGTTTTTCAACGTTTTAATCACATCTCTTATGCCACTTAATAACCTCTTCTCCACATTTCTTGCCTCATTATTTTCTTCCAAAAATTAGATCTCATAGATAATATAGAATAAAGATGAAAAAAATGATGAGCCTAGCACCCTTCCAGAAGTCAGCCTTAAGCATGTTTGCTTAAAAATGATCATCCCAACCCAGAAAAGCAGAAATGCTGACCAGCCTCTTCAGAGCACCCTTGACAGGACTCAGACTGAAGCTGCAGAAGCCCTTGTCATTCTAAAGTTCTGAGTTTGACATTGCTGCTCCAATGTAATCAACTATGGAAATTTTGCTACCCGGAAACCCATGGTAGGCTCTGCCACCCATCACTTGCTCAATTCCGAAGTTTTTTTGCTTCTTCTCCATTTTCAGTAGTTCCGTGAGTGATCTTCTCCTGCATCCTACCCCTGTCATTCTGCTCTCAGTAGGTACTAGCAATCTATGGGAAGCAGAAACTAAGAAATAGGAGACCAGTTGATCTCCCTCCCTGTCCTGCCCATTTCTATTGTTTCTTTTCTTTCCCACTTACAGGTTTTGTTATTGCCATGCTATGCTGTGGCTACTCTTTTCTACAGAATCCACAGAGTATCAAAGAAAGAACCCCAAGCATCTATTTTTGATAGTGTAAAGGAAAAATAAACTAGCAAGTAGTTTTCAATAAGAGTGAAGATGTCAGACCTCTTCTCACTTTTTCTGGGTGATATTAGCTTCCACACCCTTCCTGGAGAGACTCTGATTGGACACAAGCAGAAAATTTTTCACAATAAGAATAATCAGCCATTGGAATAATCTCTCCAGGGAAGTGGTGGTTTTCCCAGCATTGCACACTTTTGAGATTTGGCTGTCAGAGTGCTGAGTCATCTTGTCTAGACCATTCTTTTGCCAAGAAAGGTTGGACCAGATGATGCTTGAGACCATCTCAACCTGGTATTCCATGATTTCTTTGCTTTCCCTTTGCATCATTAAGTCTTCAAACAAGCTGATAACTAAGCCTAGTGAAAAGCAGGTTTCTTCTTCTTTTTTATGCTGAAGAGGTAAGATGTTTTCATGAGCTTTGTATATTACAAGAATTCCACCATTTATTCACAGAATATTCTTGCATAGACATATTATCATTTTGAACTAAATCTAAGTTCTGTTTGTATGAACAGGTCAATAGGGAACATTTTTTGATGGAAGTGTCCTAGGCAACATGGACTCCTGTATTTTAAGTGGAGAGTCCTGCTGTCAGAAGAGCTCTTTACAGCTTTTCTTGGATGGTGGATATTTGCTTTTAATTTTTTATTTAACAGATGCAAATGTGCTGCAAATTTTCATGGACCAGACTGCCAGCAGACAAAACACAGCTTCAGAGGCCATGGTTATGCCTGGTTCCCTCCTCTTCAGCCTTGCTTTGAGAGCCGCATCTCCTTAGAGTTTATCACTGATGTCGCCGAAGGCCTTCTGTTGTACCATGGACCAGTGGCACGAGGGCAGCCTGAAGAACAGGAATACTTCCTTGCTTTAGGTTAGCACCTAACAGAGTATTTATTTGTGTTTGTGTGAAGGTGAGATTCTACTTAGTTCATAGAGAACTTCTTTCAAAAGAGGTTCAGAAAGTTATTTTTGATGAATATGAGTCAGCAGTGCCCTGGCAGCCAGGAGGGCCAACCGTGTCCTGGGGGGCATCAGGTAAAGCATCGCCAGCCAGTTGAGGGAGGGCATTGTCCCACTCTGCTCTGCACTGGTGCAGCCTCACCTTGAATATTGCGTACAGTTTTGGGCACCACAATACAAGAAATATATTAAGCTACTAGAGAGCCTCCAAAGGAGGGCAACAAGGATGGTGAAGGGCCTCGAGGGAAAGCCGTATGAGAATTGGCTGAAATCACTTGGTATGTTCAGCCTGGAGAAGAGGAGACTGAGCAGAGACCTCATGGTAATCTACAACTTCCTTGTGAGGGGAAGAGGAGGGGCAGGCACTGATCTCTTCTCTGTGATGACCAGTGACAGAACCCAAGGGAATGTACTGAAGTTGTGTCAGGGGAGGTTTAGGTTGGATATTAGAAAGAGGTTCTTCACCCAGAGGGTGTTTGGGCACTGGAAAAGGCTGGGGAAGTAGTCACAGCACCAAGCCTGACAGAATTCAAGAAGTGTTTGGACAATACTCTCAGGCCTATGGTGTGACTCTCGGGGATGGTCCTGTGCAGAGCCAGGGTTTGGACTTGATGATCCTTGTGGGTCCCTTCCAACTCAGCATATTCTGTGATTCTCTGATTCTGTAATGAGAATGCAGAATAGGTCACCAGTACACCCACCTTGTATACCTGTGGCACTTTGCTAAAAGCTGGATTTTTTTAAAGCTGTCTAAAGAACTTTTCCAACTAAAATCTAACAGCAACAGTTGTTTCAAGTGAGTGTGAGTGGGAACATGGTCAATGCGTATTCAATAACAGTCTTTCCTTTGCAGAGCTCTCCGGGGGTGTCCCGTCGCTGACCCTGAGCCACAGCTCTGGTGAGCTTTTCCTGCAGCTCTCACAAAAAGTTAATGTTGCAGATCGCCGCTGGCACAATATTAAAATTATAAATGATGGAAAGGCAAGTGTAAATATGGGCAGTCCTGTGGAAGCACTAATTCATATACCCAGTTATTCCTTCCAAATCCTTCCTCCCTTCTGTAGAGCTCTTTTATCAATCAGTCTTCCATCACTTCTGAAACAGCAGGGATAGAAGTTTGTCAGTTCAGATGTCCCCTTAGTCTTGAAGCAGTGAAGCACAGCAAGGGCTGGAGAAGTCTGATCCATTTATGAAACTGGCCAGGCTATTTTTTTGGTTTAATTATCCTACCTGCTGCTTAGACAACAAAGTTGTGATAATCCAGGGGCTAAATGCTTCCTGGACTGATTGAGTGAGATATCCTTAATTTCTCTGAGTGAAAAGCCCTGCCTCACCACGAGACTTTAGACGTTTAGCACAAAGGAGATAGATATGCTTTAGTGTACAGGGAATATCTTGCTGATATAACACTGTTGGTGGCATCTGCTAGGCTCCCTGTTCCTCTCCCATGAGACAAGCTGAAGGGCATGCCAGCATCTGGGATAGGAGCCTGGCAGACTTTCTACTCTGCTAGATTGTCTCTCTGTGTTCTGATTTGGCAGAAAACTCCAAGAAAATGTTATATTCCCTCTACTGTGTCAATAACTTGGCATGATTATGTAGGGTCAGATCTTTTCTTTTGTATGGCTCCTTAGCCATATGCAGTGTGCAATAACCTTCCAGATTAGTATGTGGAGTGTCTTATTATTTTAATAAAGTTTCCTGCACTGTAATTGCTAGTTACCCTTCTCCCATCTGCTAAGTGAAAAAAAAAATGTCATTAAAATGTATGCGTGTCTCTGGATACAATTAAGTAATGCCTTTTTCTAGGAAGTGAAGATGATTCTTGACCACTGCGTAAATGTCTCAGCTAGAGACAATGACATTGTCATTAAGAAGAACTCCCAAATGGATCTATCTGCCTGTGAAGCCTCTGGAGAGATTGTGGGATCTCAAAGGTAAAAATCCAAACCCAAAACAGCCAACAACAAAAATTGGCAACGTAACTACCCAAAAGAGCTAAGGAAAAAGGCAGGGGTGGGGTGGTGAAATCAACCAAGCTGCTGTATTTTGCATGCCACTAATTCTTTCTTTCTCTCCCCTTCAACATGGGTAGGCTATTCAGCGGCCATCAGCCTCTGCAACTGGGTGGAGTTAAGAAGACTTTGCCTTACCACGATTCACAAAGGCACTTCAGAGGATTTGTTGGCTGCATACGCAATGTCATTGTTGATAGTAAGGTAGGGCCACAAAAACCACTCTTGGGTTTACTGCTGTTAACTGTAGGCACCTGATGTGATGGTTCTCTTTGACCTTTTCCAGGTCTATGATTTAGAGCACCCTGCAGAGTCCCTGAACAGCGTTCCCGGCTGTGTCCTTACAGATGAAGTGTGTCAGAGTGGTGGGATGGCCTCCTGTGGCACTCATGGCAAGTGTGTTGGTGGTTGGGATTTCTTTCACTGTGACTGTTCCTCAGGATATGCTGGACCAGCATGTGAAAAAGGTACTGCAGGTTCTAGGGAGAAATTCATGGTGAGGATCTGTGGGAACAGCATCAAATATACTGCTCTAATGTTCAAAATCAAGCTACCATGATTTTGAAGTGAGCAGCGTAATAAGACCTTGCTGTACTCTTGGAATGATTTAGATCTGCAAAGATGTAAAGATCCTTTAAACTCTTGTTGAATAAAGATACCATCACATATGAGGGCCATGTTGAGAGCTGCTTTACTTTGCAGGGAAGGGAAGTGGTCATAACAGGTTGTTTTGTCCTTTTCTTTGCGGTATCTTATTTCTCAGTGGTGAAAGTGAAACATTCTGCGTTGTGCCTTCTTCCTCTGATCGTGCTGATCACAAAATGAACTTTAATGAACCTGTTAAACCTGAGGACATAATTCTCTTGTTATCTTCAGGCCCAATTTTCCATCTATAAAATGGCGATAATTACATTTGCAAGTTGAGCAACGCCCCTAGACCACAGCAGTGAAGGCATGTGGGGGCATAATATCAGGCTGTCTGCAGCAAATGTTATTCTGTACAAAATCAGCATGACATATGTATCAGAGAACAAAAGCATGCTGCGGTGGATAATGAAAACCCCAGAGATACTGTAAGAATGTGCAAAATTTCAGCACAGTTCAAAAATTTAGGAAATAAATAATTTAACTCCTACTAGCCCATAGCCATTTCAGGGGACAGTGGACATACACTTGAAGCTGGCTCTGTCCCCGTTATCTTAAACCTTTCATCAGCCCAGGTGAAATCAGAAGTGAGTCACAGGTGTTTACTGAGACTTTACCTGTCCTGTATCTACCTTCTCCCTCTAGGTACAAGGTACAAATGATGAGGTTGATCATAACAGTCTGTAATGAGCACCAGTGTCCCATAAATTTGGGGGCTTTTGATGGAAGAGAATTAGCCCCTCAGTCCTGTAGTTTGAGTGAGCTGAGCTACTGGTGAGGATGAGCAGCAGCGAGGAGCTGGAAAGGAGCACTTACAAGTTAGCATTCAATCAAGGTATTAGGATTAATAGATAGTATTGGCAAGGAATTACACATATCCTTTCAGCTCAATGCATTTACCTTTCCTTCTTGCATACGGAACAATAATACCCTATGCAGGCAGTCAGACCCTCTCTTCTTTCTCCATCTGGCACACAAGGCTTAAAAGGTGTGACAGTAAATTACTCAGCAGAAGTTCTGTCTGTCCATTGGAGTGAAGACCGGAATTATAATTGGCACAGTCTAGGCCTGGAGCATTCACTGTTTAAAGTGTTTATAATGACCACAGAACTGCTAATGTAGCTCAACTGTTTGTATTATGTTTTGTAGACAGATAATACTGGTTTATAAATACCTGGCTATATTTAAATCTTAATCTGTTTTGCATTACCTTGGGATGCTGGTTCACAAGCCCAACTGCTGTGTTGGCTTCTACCCCTTACTACTGTGGGACAAACCAAGTACTTACTTGAAATCGATAAGTCATATCCTGGTGTATCAGGAAAACTTTGATTGGTTCCAGCTTCTTCTATATTGGGCTGCAAAATGCTGGTGTGCAACTGGTGCTTTATGAATGGCTGAGCCATGCTCACAGCAAGGAGCAGACAGCTGGGGACAAGAGTCACTGGATCATCTCAAGAAAACCCTTGTCTGCTCATCAGCTGTAGCCTGTAGCTGCAGAGAGAGTGAACAAGAGAGAACAGTGGGTTAGAAAGAATAATGGGAGGGGAATAAGCTAGAGGAGAAAAGAAAACCTGCTTCAAGAAAGGAAAGAGAGAAGAGAAACAGTGTGAGAAAAAGAGAGTTCAGCAATTAAGTCTCTCAATCATTTGATATTTCATATCCTGGGAACTAGACTAAATGCCACAGGATGAGCTTGGCACTCTTTAGATTTCTACCTGTATGACACTGACCTCAGATGAGCTTTGGTGACCCAGTGCTCCTCCTTTCTAGTAACTAAGTTGAACTATCTATCTATTTGGTGAAAAGAAACTTCTAGTTTTTTAATAAGCTGTGGCCAAAACAAGTAGATCTAGGATTGCTGTCAGGTAACGAGATTAAAGTATGTGCCTGCTCTGTAAAAGCATCAGGGTGTGGGTAGTTTATTGGTGTTTGATTTCTATGGAAGTGTGCAGTGCAACTTCATCAGACTCTCTACTGGATCCTGGACTCCCCAGAGAGATAAGGAAATAATTAGGTTCAGTGAATTTTCCTTTGTTAAAATAATAAACACTGACTTAATCTCTCTTTGTAATTAAAAAACCCCTGAGGTCTTCTTTTGTTCCATCTGAAAGGGGAAGTAAAGTGCATATTTTCTAACACCAAGGGTTTTAACCACAGGACTAAACTACTGAAAGAAGCATTTGATTATCATTTTTCATTTGGTTGGGTTTTGTTTGGTGTTTTTCTTTGGATCAATACCAGCTACTTTACTGGAAGATATGTTTCAGATTTAAAAAAAACCAAAACACTTTATTGGGCCCAGTGTAGGAGTGACTGGGTAGAATGTACAGCTTGTAACAGATAGAATGTTAGAGACAGTATCTAAGTGTCCCTTTCCTGCCTAAATTCTGAATCCTTGATTTGTTGTTTTTCTCTTAATTCTTTTTGCAGTGGGGGGTGCTTTTCACAATGCTAGATTATGTAGCCAAAATTTCTTAAGAACTGAAACTCTGGTATTCAGAAGTGGTTAATTCTGAAGGAGCAGAGATCTGAGGGAGCAATTGTTTCTGAGATTTTTTTCTTTGTTTTTGTGTGTGCTGTGCTTAGTTCTTCCAGAGTGGGCTTTTGGAAGGGACAGCTGGATCCATTATGAGCCAAGAAGCATCCTCAGCAGTCGTAGCACTAGGATCCAGCTGATGGTGCGCACTCGTATCTCCCACAGCACTCTTCTGAGCTTGGCCTCTGCAGATGGGAACGGATACATCCGACTGGAGGTGAGCAGTCCAAAGCCTGTTCTTTGAGTGCTCTTCATTTGTCATGGACTACCCTAGTAAGAGAAAAAGACACAGTTTCTGATTAAGGGCATCTGTTCTGTAATATAATAAAGAGCAAGAATTTTCCATATGAGGGTAACTTCTCTCATTCGTGTTGCCCTTCTCGGTATTACTCTTTCATGGCATGCATTCTAGTTGTTTCACTGGCTGCAAAATGTACATGTGAATGCATGTGATAAATGTGAATGAGGAAGACTGTTTTGCCCTGCTTGCCATTTACCTTTGCTTCTCGCTGCACTGTCTATAAAACTTGTCTCTACAGTTTTGTTGCTGCTGAAAAAAGCTGTCTGGATTATGTTAGTTAGAGAGGCTAATTATTCTAATTGTAACAGGAGGGTCAGCTGGAAGACTTAGAGGTAGATATCAGTAAGGAGAAGATTGATAAAAGGATTCATGTGAGTTAGAAGAGTGACCTGTAAAGAAAAAAGCTGATAATTCCTGGATCTGCAGTTTTCTTGTGGTAACATTTATCTGGGAATAAAGCACTTAAAAACAATAGTGCCATTTTCATTTCAAAAACTCAGGTCCATTTCTTGAGGCAGGACTGTGTAATAACATTTCAAAGTGTATTTCTGTTATTAAAGGTCTTTATCATCTTCTTCTAGGTGGTTGAGGGTTTCTTTAGCATTAACTTCAGTTTGGGGGACAAAAATCACTCTCTGAGACTGAAGACATTGCACATAAACAATGGCCAGTGGGTTCTTCTGACCATGGAGCGCTACAACAATGAATTCACCCTGCGTGTTAACAGCGGTGGAGGTGATCATGAAATCACCTCTGTCTTGGGTACAAATAGGTGGTTTGAAACAGATTGGGCAAGCATTGTGCTAGGAAACCGCCTTCCCAGTCATTCAGAGAGCGATTTCCAAGGTAAGTGATATTACAGATTCCTAAAAGGAGGAAATTAAAGCCTGAAAGAGGCATCTTTGAGTGTACTGGAGAGTTTAAAACCCAGGAAACAACTCCCATATAGATTATTATGCCACTTCTTTTCTAGGAAATTCAAAGCCAATGTTTAACTCTGTTTGCTATTGAACCTGGTTCTAGTGAAGATTTGAAATTGCCTGTAAATATTCAAAAATAGCACTTCAGATTTTTATGTCATGGAGTCACAGAATCATTCGGGTTGGAAGAGACCTTAAAGATCATCTAGTTCCAAAGCCTCTGCCACAGCAGGGACACCTTCCACTAGACCAGGGTTTCTCATGTCAAAGGCCCCAAGTAGCATACTCATGCTGTGATCTTCACTCCTTTTTTTGCCTGGGAAGGGTTTAAGGTACAGACACAATACCTCCTGGCATGAGAGAAGGAGTTGCAAGACATTTGTAGTGCTCTCTCCATTTCCTGGGGTGGGGTACTGAAGCCTTGAGATTGTGACTCAACAGCTTTTTCCATTTGGTTGCTTCTTATTCAGCCCCACTTCTAGGATTAGATCTTAAATCTAGATTAATTTAGTGGAGCTGTTCTGGTTCATAGCACAGTTCTACTGAATTGTTGCGTTGGTACAAAGGAGCTGTCCTGAAGAAGTATTGTCGATCTCTAGACTGACCGGAGCACAAAAACACATGTTCTGTAGCTCTACTTCTAAAATAAAACAGATAAGGAGTATAAGGATTTTTTAAAAAGATATATTGAGGTTTCTACAATGCTCTAAGGTCTCCTGCATGTGTGCTGGGGGCAGGGCTTGGGCTGGAAAAGCAGCTAAATTAATGTACTCCTCTGCACACTGCTCTGCTTTGATGCAGGTTGTATGCGTGATGTCCAGCTGAATGGTCAGCCACTCCTTGTGGAAGGCAGAAGCACAGAGTTTGGCTTAATTCTGAGGCGGCAAGGAGTCACCATGGGATGCCATTCCAGTGCCTGCAGCAGCCAGCCCTGTTACAGCCCCTTCCTTTGTGTAGACCTGTGGAGAAAATATGAATGCCGGTACGTTACGCTTTTGTTTTCATCCAGGAATGGCTGGGAAGCTCTTTCTTTGTACCTCAGACCAGTCAACTTGCTTCTAACAGTAAAACTACCTGTGGCTGCTGGCCAGAGAGGGTCATCCCAAGGACAAATCCTTCTCTCTGTCTCATCTCCCATCATGGGAGATGATGGGACTTGCTTTTTTTCTGCAAGTCTGATATGGAGCCTATTTATTCCATCATTTTTTCCATAGTGAGAGAATCACAGGCCAGCAAGAAAGTGAAATGTCCTTTGATAAAAGGTGCATTGCAAAGCTTTGGTCTCTCCTCTGTATGAAAATGTGAATATATTCTTATAGTGTATATAGAGAGAGTGTGTGTATATACACACATATATATACACATATATGAATATAAAAGATACATATACATTTTACATAGATGTATATATACGTATATTTATTGCAAATACAATACATATTTACATATATTTTCTGTAAAGAAGTTGAAATTAATCATAATTTGTATGAAACAATTGGACTTTCAAAATTAGACTGTCACAAAATTGGATTCAAAAGTTGACTGTCCAGGGCCAGAGCCAAAGCCCAACAACTGTTGTCTTACACAGTTAGTTTCTTGGAGAATATCCACTATTTAAAGAAAATTTTCAAAATATTTATTCAAATATGCAACTCAAAATACAGGGATTTCTATTAAAAAACCCCAAGTATAAATACATGCAGGACTGGTAGAAGAAGCCACTTGAATTCTTGGAATTCAGCCAAAATTTAGCACTTCTGATGCCTAGTGATTCTTTAGTAGAAGAGGCTATGAGATGGTTTGAAGTGTGCCTTGCACACTTCTTTCTTCAGTCTGCTTGTGAAAGAACAATATGAAGTTTCTTACACTTTTTCAGTAGTATTCTTTGGATTGCAGAAAGCAGGTCTGTGACCTCATAGTATTCCTCCAGGGCCTCTCCAACTACACATCAGAAGAAATCAGTCCTAAAAGACAAGATGGGCCATTCTAAGGTGGTCAATGACATTTCTCCCAAAGGTCCAAATGAACATTACAAAGCTTACACCAAGTTCTTGATAGCCCTTTTCCCATTGATCTCGGCTATCCATTTCCTTTTAGAGACTTTGATTAGAACATGGCTGTAGGAAAAGGGATAGTCTATTCAGAAACTGATGGATCTCATTTTTAAGGAAGGAGTGAAGCTCTTCTGCATGTCTTCTGGATAGGGAAAACAGAATATGTGTTCATGTTTTTGTAAGCCCACTAGCTCACTAAGTTGGACTTTACATGTATTTCATACTCCCAGTGTGTATTTGTGGTTTGCTTGAAAATAGTTAAAATTTGTTTTAAAGAAACAGTAACAAACTGTGCGCAGAACAACATACAGCTCCAGATGCTTTGCTCGCTTAAAAGATATCCCCTGCTTTGATTGTTCAGGTGCCCAGCTGGGAAAGTAGAAGTGACTGACACCCTTACAGGGCTCAGACACTGTAGCTCATCCACTTGTGGACGCTGGACCTGTAGGAACGGGGGTACCTGTGTGGCTCAATCCCAAGACAAGCCTACCTGCCAGTGCCCCGAAGGTTACAAGGGAAGATGGTGTGAAATTAGCCAGGTGAAGGCTGCAAGACCTGTTGGACTCAGCTCTGGCTCTATTCTGGCAATCAGCATGTGCCTCCTTGTCTTCCTAGGTAGGAAATCATGTACCTTTTGTCCTTCTTTCTAATCTTGTACCTTGTTCCATTAAATTAAGTCTGGTTTACCCTTGGATGTTGTGATGAGTGTTTCATCTTTCCTGGACATCAGCAGTTGGGAGTTCATTTCAGGATGCTAAGAGACAGCCAACAGCACATAGTCACAGTTTACTTGCTTTGAAGCCAGTTCAAGCAAGTTTAGGACTTTCTTTTTCAGAATCACTTATTTTGAATCCTTCTTAAGTAAGAGCTTTCCATCTTTGTGTGCAACTCTGTGTGCAGCCACATCCTTTTGAAACTCCCACATGCCCTGAGCCCTTACTTTTTTAATAGGCAGGACCTACAGTTAGTACCCACTCCTCACATATTAGGAAGGAAGAGATCTTTCTCTATAAAGTTCATGATATTTACAGGGAAACCTCATTAAGAGTGTGGGGCAGAGGGAGATGTTCACACTGTGTCCAGTTTCAGGTGCACTTTGGCTGATAAGTTAATAATGCCACAAAAATGCGTTCATGTCGATAAACTGCATCCCAATCTCAGAACAGTAAAGACTCCGTGATCATATTACACTTGTAACCTTCATTAAAACAGTGGTTTACTTACTTTGGGTATCTTATTTACTCAGGATTGGTGAAAGGCCAGAGATTGGCCAAAATGCCCTCTATTTAAATGGATTCCTTTAGGTAAGTAAAATACCCTTTTAATGAAGTTTATGATGTAATATACATAGATTATTTACATTCATGAATTTATTTATATATTAAGAATTACTCATTTCTTACCAGCAAATTTGGTAGTCAAACTAAGACTTGTTGTAATATCTCAGGAATCATATAACTACTTTTATCATGCATCATACTTTTTCACATGTCATGTAACAAATATGTGTTTTTATTTCTTCCAGCGCTCTTGGTTTCCTACACAGTGTGGAGTCAGTGGGGAAGTTCAGGATTTCGGAAAGGAGGAATTTACCACATTCCTGAAGAGCGTGAAAGCTGGGAGGATGTTAGAGAAAATGTCTTAAATTATAATGAAGAAGGAGGTGGAGAACATGACCAGGTATGATGCAGCTTCAATACAGTCTTTGCAAATCCAACCTGTCCTCACTTTTCTTTTTAGCTAACTAAATGTCATTATCAAATTGGCTTTTTTTTCTTTCTTTTTTTTTTTTTTAACCTGAAGTACTCTTAAGTGGAAGGCTTCTGTAACCCAATCTGTACCTTTCACGATGCTGGTCATGTGTGGCTGCCTTTGATGGAGCTGCTCTGGACACAGTATTGTTGCTTTAACTGAACACTATAATTACGCAATAATTATATGTGTTCTGAACATAGCCCTCTGAACTAGGCCCTCTTTTCTTCAGCTTGTAGAAAATTCACAGAATCTAGTATTGTGTGGTCCTGTGTTTCAAAACATTTTTTTTGAACCTGTTTCCTTTTAGGTTGTTTCTCTCTGATATTTGCATTCTTTTTGTTTCCAGAATGCTTATGATATAGATAAACTGAAGAAACCTCTCCGTAAAATTCCCCACTTCTCCTTGCGGGCAGCTGCTCCACACTCCAGGACACAAACTGGCCCAAAAAGAGACTCATTCCCAAAACATGCACATCAAAAACAATCAACATCAGCTGCTACCAGCATCCTGGACTTAAAGGAATATGTTTCTCAAATCATCCGGGATGCAGACAACGATCCAAAGAGTCTTCCAGCTGACACTATTCATTTTTACTGCTTAGAAGGGCAATGCTCTCTAGCAGGGAGCCTTAGTTCCTTAGATTCCATTAGCAGTGATGAAGATCTAAATTATGATTGCCTCCAAGAGTGGGGGTCGAAGTTTGACATGCTTAAAGAACTCTATAAGGTCTCAAATGAAAATTTGTAACTAGAGTTAAAGGAACTTGACACATTGTCATGATGTATGGACACTGCTTTTAAAAATGTCCTTTTTTATATATAAGTTACATCAAGTAACTTATGTGATACAAGGTTTTAGTTACAGTAGTATGATATACTCACTTTTCCCAGGAGTGATAATCTGAGCAATCTTTTTATACGCACTGTACAGTTATTTAATGATAGAAGTGCAAAGACTTTTAAAGCATGAATTTTCTTGAAAACTTTGGAATGTAGGATTTCTATAGAATAGCATTGTAATATCCTTTTTTATTTGTGTAGACCACATGACTCACTGGAATTATCATGAATGCAAGAACTTGAATTATTTTCTCCCTAGCATTAATATGAATTCTATTGTGTGGGTAACAATGGGCAGGAAATTCTTGTTTTTTAAACTGAATTCATTTTAGACTGTGAAATAATTATTAAAAATGTTAAATATAAAATATTTTGAATTTCTGGTTTCTGGTCACCTCCTGTTGTATTCTTCTAAGCTGTACTCTCCCTTGACATCTCACATGCCACCTAACTCACTACTACAGGCTGCCCAACTGTGTGAGACTTTTTCTGTCTGACTCTTTTTCTAATTACCTGCCATGAGGGGAAGAGAATAGAAAGATCCAAGCTGTAAATACTATTTTGCTTCTGTGACAATTTTACACCCATTGAAAGAAGTTGTAAGATCTGGGAAAATTTTCTGTTCCATAAACTTTTATGTCCAACTCTGCTTTTCACATGGAACCCTTCTTCAAAGTCTGAGCTGGAAAACAGAGAACGTAGAAGGGCATCCAGGCAAAAATTGGAACTGAAATCTTTCAATTAGGATAGTCATTGTAAAAATTGGGATCCTCAAAACAGAAAGCATGGGAAACCTACTCCCTATTCCTACTCCCACTCCCCCCCCGTGGTTTAAGCACGGAAAGGGACTCAGAAGCTTCTGAAATCTGGCATTGACTGGAACACTCCCCTCTGTGACCATAGGTCCTCTCCCAGAGGATTATTTTGTAATTCCTATTCTGAAACTGAACATTTTCCATATGGATGCATTATCAATAACTCAGAAAAGCTGAAACAGCAGTTAACTTTTTTCCCTCAGATAACTTCACACACAAAGTAGCACACATGAGAGAACGTAACAAATTACATTTAAATCAGGGCATGTAATGGACTTCTGTCCTCGTGGAAAATGAGAAAAAGGAAAGTTCTTCTGTCTCTTTGGCTCACTCTGTAGAGGCCCTACAGGGAAGCCAGACAGGGACTCTTCATCAGGAACTGTAGTGATTGGACAAGGACTAATGGGTATAAATTGAAAGAGGGGAAATTTAGGTTAGATATTAGGAAGAAAGTCTTTACTGTGAGGGTGGTGAGACACTGGAACAGCTTGCCCGGGGAGGTTGTGGATGCCCCATCCCTGGGAGTGTTCAAGGCTCTGGGATGGAGCCTTGAGCAGCCTGGAGGTGTCCCTGCCCATGGCAGTGGGGTTGGGACTAGATGATCTTTAAGGTCCCCTTAACATTCTATGATTCTGTGATTCGTATCTGCCCTTCTCCATGGATCGAGGTCTTGATTTCTTTGCCCTTTCATAAAGCATTAGGACGTGGATGGGCACGGGGATGGAGGGCTCGCAGGGAGTGCCCTTGCTGGGACTGGACCACGGCGGACACGCCGGTGGAGGGACGGCGGGGGTGACGGGGGATACGCATGCAACCAGTGACCTCGGAAAGAAAAACGCCGATTTCGTAGGGAAGTCAGACTGCTCGCCTAACAGGTCCCCCAGCCGCGAAACCACGGCGGCTCAGGCTGGGCCCGCCCTGCCCCACAAGGGCCATGTTCCAGCCCCGCGGCGGGCGGGGCCGCAGCTCCGCACCGCCTCCCACGGGGCGGTGCCGGCCGCCATCTTGTGCCGCTGTCGGTGTCGGAGGGTGCTGTGCCGTTGTTGCGGGACTCCTTGCGGGGCCGGCGGCCGCGATGAGCGCGGAGGCGGCGGACCGGGAAGCCGCTACCTCCAGCCGGCCATGCACGCCACCTCAGACCTCGTGGTTCGAGTTCGTGCTGGAGGAGGCGCTGCTGGAGCAGCACCTGCAGAAACCCTCTCCCGGTGCGTGCCCTGCTGGCCGCCGCCTCCCCGCGGCCTCTGGCGCGGCCCGGCCCCACTCCCCGGCTCCCCCAGGGGCAGGATCGCTCGGAGGGGCTGTGAGGTGGCGGTGGGTGCGGGGAGCTCTGCTGCGGTGCCGGGGGAGTCGGGGCCAGAGGGAGCCGGGCACTGCCCGCGGGTCTGCAGCAGCACTTACCGCAAGCGATAACGCGGGTTTTTTCTCGCTTTACATTATCTTTACTATTTAATAACTTCGTTTCTCTGTCTTTCCTGTCTGGTAGATCGCTTTTCTTTCGCGGATGTGAATTTTGTTCCGGAAATGTTTTCGGGTTGTTTATTTGTGCGGTGCGAAGTGCTGTTTGTAAACATCATTACAGTTTGCAGCTGGTTTTCTCCCATTGGAGTCTTGCTAACGCCTGGAGCTGGAGTCCACCTAAAGGTTCAGTGCTGAACTTGCTCTCTGGACCTGAAATAAATAGAAATCTAGTCTGATGTGGTATAACAAAGTGACCGTATTTAAAAGCAGCTGATCTTTTGACGTTTATAAGTGATAACCATCTTTTTCAGTACCTGAATTCTATGACGAGGTAGAGGAAACAGGAGAACCTGGGCCATTGTTGCCTCTACGAAAAGTAAATTTAAGCACAGTCAAGCTTAGATCTTATACTCTATATTGCAATTAAGTAAATTATTAATACTTCTCTTGTGTTTTACAGAGTTCAGTGCAAGTGTAGTAGTACAGGTTGGCTTCTTTTTTCAAAAGAGCTCAAAGATATTGGAGAGTGTGTCTTATTGTAAGGGAGAGATTAGAGTGGGGTTTTTCATTGTTTTTTAATCAGTCTGAAAGTATTTTCTAAATGTATTCAGAAGTACCAGCAGTTGCTTGTAAATGTATTTTAAATACAGAGGAGAATTACAAGTAGATATATATTTTTTTACAATAGCTGACTTTTGATTTCATTATGCGACGTTTAGTTTCAGTAGGTGCAAGTACTGAAACATAATTAATACAAAATAGTGAAAAGAAATAAAAGTGTGAGAATATGGTTACCATGGTCAAGTAAACTTGAAGGTTAAGGAAATATACGTCAATAGTCTGATTTGAGTCATCATAAGCAGGACACCCTTGGGGATTAGAGGCTAATAGGTGACAATGTCAGCAGTATAAACGACAAGAATGTAGAAACCCTGTTCATAGCTCAAAAAAAAAATAATTTCTGGATTTACAAAGAATTTGAGGAGTGGCTGTGGTTTTTTGCAGATCCGCCACCTGTGCAGCTGATCGTTCAGTTCTTGGAACAAGCTTCAAAACCATCAGTGAATGAACAAAACCAAGTTCAGCCACCACCTGATAACAAAAGAAACCGCATTTTAAAACTTCTTGCTCTCAAAGTTGCTGCTCATCTGAAGTGGGATTTGGATGTATTAGAGAAAAGGTATGGTCTGTACATTTTCATGCTGAAATTAGGGAATTGAAGTGGCTTGAAATCTTTATTTTAACAAATGGAAATCTGTCTTGCCTTCTCTGATGGTATCCTTACATTAAAAAGAATCTTGGGTGCAACAATTGAAATAATTTGATTTCACCTGTAAATTAGGGAAGCGGTTTGATAAAGGCAATGTCTCTGAGCAAATCAATATTGTTTATAATTTAGAGAGGAAAAATAGTGTGTCTTAGACATTAAGATGTATACACATAAACTGCATAAATATGAATTGGAGGTTATGTTTTCTTCACTGACAAAGTTTCCTCATTCTGACATGCTTGAATTTGGAGGTCTTGCTCCAGTTTTGTTGAAGAACTCCATATATTTGCAAACCAGATCACTGAACTAACTGTGGTTTAAATAGACAAACTCCAACTTTGGATTTTTTTCACCCAAATAATGTCATCTGCAGAGTGGTCTGATGAGCTAGAACAGTTAGGAACTACTTCATTCTGGCAGTGCTAAGCACATCAGAGAGCTGTGCTTCACAGAATCACAGAATGGGTCAGGTTGGAAGGGACCACGGTGGGTCATCTGGTCCAACCTCCCTGCTCAGGCAGGGTCATCTTAGAGCACATGGCACAGGATTGTGTCCACGTGGCTCTTGAATGTTTTCAGTGAGGGAGACTCTACAGCCTCTCTGAACAGTCTGTTACAGTTCACAGTCCCCCACACAGTAAAGAAGTTCTTTCTCACATTCAGGTGGAACTCCCTGTGCATCAGTTTCTGCCCATTGCCGCTTGTCCTATTGCTTGACACCACCCAGGAGAGCCTGGCTCCGTCTTCTTGACACCCTCCCTTCAGATACTTACAGACATTGATGAGTCTCTTCTTAGGGCTGAACAGGCCTAACTCTCTCAGCCTTTCCTCATAAGAGAGGTGCTCCAGTCCCTTCATCATCTTTGTTGCTCTCTGCTGGACCTGCTCCAAGAGCTCTGTGTCTCTCACATACTGAGAAGCTCAGAACTGGACACTGCTCCAGATGTGGCCTTGTTACTGATGTATTTGAAGAAGTCCTTGACATCCTTGGCCAGATTTAATTTTAGATGGGCCTTGACCTTCCTTGTCTCATTTCTGCTTACTCTGACAACCTCTCTATATTAATTCCAGATCGTCTGACACTGCCTCCATCTTTTGTGTATTTCCTGCTTACGCTTGAGTAATGGCAGGGTTCTTTATTCATCCACACAGGTCTCTTGTCCCATTTGCCTGCAATGTAATGTAAAATCTTATGGGGGCAATGCTTGCCCCAGTTCTAACTTGCATAGGTTGTAGGATCATTTAGGCTGAAAAAGAGTTTTAAGACTATCAAGTCCACCACTAAATCATATCCCTAAGTGACACATCTACATGTCATTTAAATTCCTTCAGGGCATGATGGTGACTCAACCACTTCCCTGGGTAGCCTATTCCAATGGCTGACCACCCTTTTGGTAAAGAAATTTTTCCTAATATCCAATCTAAACCTCCCATGGCACAACTTGAGACCATTTCCTCTCATCTCTTGTTACTTGAGGGAAGAGACTGACCACCCCCTTGCTACAACCTCCTTTCAAGTAGTTGTAGAGAGTGATAAAGTTTCCCCTGAGCCTTCTCTTCTCCAGGCTAAAGTCCCCCAGCTCCTTCAGCTGCTTCTCATAGAACTTGCGCTCCAGACCCTTCCCCAGCTTCGTTCCCCTTCTCTGGACTATCTGCAGCACCTCAGTGTCCTTACTGTAGTGATCAGCCCAGAACTGGACACAGCACTTGAGGTGTGGCCTCGCTGGTGCCGAGTACAGGGGGGACAGTCATTGCCCTGGTCCTGCTGGCCACACTATTCTGATAAAGGCCAGGATGCCGCTGGCCTTCTTGGCCACCTGAACCACACTGCTGT